GGAGCACTGAGAGCAGCCAGCAACCAGCACACCAGTGCCTGACTTCTTGTCTTGCCATGCATTTCTTTGTAGAAATGCACATGTCTGACCATTTGCTTTGCTTTAATCCTGTAAATTGGGGTATCAGTAATTTGTTCTGTAAAGAAGCATAGTGGGAGTCCAGAACTATTTGGAAAGGTCACTTAAGGCTTTTTTCTCTTTCATTTTGTTGAATTTCTCCATGAAATGACCTTAAGAGCTACCAGTGCAGCAGTCAGCTGAAACTAACCCTTAACTAGAGAGCTTCCAGAAATAAATGAACATTTCTGTGTCTGCTGTTCCTCAGGAAAGTTGGGCAGTACAGAAATCTTAATGCTGCCAGTGCTGTTGGCTCAAACAATGTTTTTGACATTTCAGGACTATTGCATGAAGGATTAACAGATAAATGCACATTGTTACACATGGAGAACAATTCTTAACCCTTCACACATCCCAAAAGAATATTTGCATGGTCTGGGTGGGCAGGGAAGAAGCACTGGGCTTTCCTTTTGCACTCACAAAGGATTCACATCTGAACTTCCTCATTCGCCTCACATTCTGAAAGGATCAGAGAATGCAAGAGTGTATGACTAGTGCTCTGCAAAAACTTGACAGAAGATAAAATGACAGCTAGGGTAGGATAAATTATGCTTGTTAAAAGAAAGCTAAATATCATCATTTTACTCTTGAGGACATCTATAGTGATTTAAGGCTACATGAGAGCACCGAGTTGGAGGTTTAACTTCCTTTAGGATATACATAACAACTTCACACACTTAACTAATTCATGCCCACTTTCCTGAATAGACAGATGACAGTTAGGGGTCAGCCAGAAAGCCAGGGAGTGGAAGTGGGAGCTAGCAAGTACAATTCTGCAACAACTGTTGTGTTTTTCTTTTTTAATGAACTCAGCTAGGATTACACATGCTATACTCCTCCTATTACCATGCATTAATTTTCTGTTATGCTGGCTTGCAGATCTCTCCCAAGCCAACTCTTAGTGAAGTTTAGGAGGCATGTCCTCACTGCACATTGAATTCCTTTTACAACAATGAAATACTGTCAGGTCTTAACACGCTCAGGCTGTACCAAGGCCAAGGCAGATAGCAATCAGTTGTCATGCTTGGAGAACATTTGCTATAATATGTGTCTGTACATTTCTGTAAGGGAAGAGCTGCCAGGGAGGTGCCCTGGGAGGGCAGAGGCAGGGAGCAATGGGGGGATGCCATCCTGCATGTGTGTCAAACCTCCTAGAAAATGAGGAAAGTGCGCTTGTACATTTTTACTGTTGGTCTGAAATGGTGCTTTAAAACCTTCAGTTTTCCCTTTGGGATAACCAAGAGCCTGCATTACAACAGCATCAGCTGTCACATAGGTTAGACAGCATCTGAGAGTGGGACACAGATAATGTTATCAGATACTGCTTCAGCAATGTTCAACAGTGCAAGCTTTACAGCCACAAGGAGCACTTGTCCTTCTTGCTTCAGTTTTTAGCCCCTAGTTAATATTAGTCTTTGTTTTTTTTTCCTGTAAAACTGTGGACATTACCATTTGGATGGAATCTCTAACATTTAATGGACTTTTAATGGGCATTCCAGTTTTCGAATAAGAACAATCCCTTTATTTGTAAATTGTGCCCAAAAAAGTCTTCAGTACCCACTGTGGCTGCAGCCCTCCTTCATTTAGACACGTGATGAGGTACATTTTAGAGTGTCATTGCCACTAAGATTAATCAACTCTTTTAAGACACGTGCCTTATTAAGTATAGAAAGGTAGGTATCATCTAAGTGGTTAATCTTTCATTTCAATATTTTTCTTGAAATAAATACAGTAACCATCCATGATCTATAATTTTCAGAGGAGAATATGTTTGTAAATTTCAACAGAAAGCGGGTTTGAATACCTCAATTTGCTTAAAAGTCCTGTTCATAATCACCTATAGAACAAGGATAAAATATGGAGAATTATCAAAGGCAAAGACTACTTTCTGCTCATTCAGGATGTTGCTAATTCTAGAGCTCCAAGGGTTTGAATACCTTTCCATTAAAATTCTGCTATCTATCTATCTATCTATCTATCTATCTATCTATCTATCTATCTACCTGTCTGTCTGTCTGTCTGTCTGTCTGTCTATCTGCCAATGCATGTAACTACTTCACAAAATGGAACTCTGATCTGAAACTTGACATGCATCTTAATCAATTAGCTACAAATGGCTTCAACCGACTGCCTGCAGTAGCTTTACATGAAACCTGCACACTCACTTTGCAACCATCTCTCTTATTAGCTCATTATGGAAAAGAAAAAAAATCCCAAACAAACAGAAGAATAAGAGTGTGGTCAAGGACAGAATTATATATCTTGTGGCAATGAGAAAACTCAAACTCAATTTGGATAGAGAATTTTCAGTAAAGAACACAATAAGCAAGCAGTCTGTGTTCATTGAGATCATAACATAATTACATTACATTCGAAGCCTGAAGTTTTAAACCAAAACATACTTAAAGTTACAAAGCCTTCATGTTTAACTGCAGAGTGGGAAAAGGTAGCTCCTCGTTTAAATTCTACTTCAATTTAAAAATAAAAATAATAAAAGAAGAGAATGTCTCTGGGAGAACACACACACGTGTGAATGAATCACAATTACCTGCAAAAAAGCAAGATGACTACATTAAACCTACCCAGGCAGGCATGGGTCTCAGGCTGAAACAGGGAGCAGGCTGGACTGATCAAATACTTTCAGCAAGTGAGTCAAATTCTTACTTCTCTTAGCATTGGCTCCAGGTCTGAGTTCACTAATTACCTCTGGAAATATCTCCCTGGAATATGCAGTTGCTGCTTGGCAGATGCAGTGTAAGCTACATGGGCAAGGGTAGGGGCCCCGTATCCTGCCTCCCCAAGCAGGTCAGCGCTGTCAGTGAGGAATGCAGCTCCTGCATTAACCACCCTCTTTATGACTCTCTGTTGAGATGAAAGATCCAAGTTCCTAGGAAGTGGTTAGGAATTTTTTTTTTTAGATACTCATTGCCTTTATTTTTTGTAAGTACTTGATTGCAGTGCTGGTGAGGAATCTGCCAGGGCAGCATTTTTTCCACCAGAAAATTCCCTTTTGTGAAAATTTGTAATATTTTGTGAAAATGTATCAAGTTCAAAAGAATATTATGTGAAATAACATTCTGGGTCAAAACAGACAGTGACGAATTCTACCTGGTTTGAATATGTGAAGCTAAGTGGTAATAGCAGGATGGGCAAACAACTTCTTACAGCAGAAGACATCCAAGATTATAATCCAGGTAAGAGAATACTTCATCCATTCAACTGTGATTTGCCAGTTAAAAAACAACCAAAGAAGAACCAGAAAGAAAGAAGGTCTTGTTTTTTTTTAGTGAAGGAATACACAAGTGCAAAAGAAACATCCCTAAACCAAATTAGAGGGTGGATTTTAAAGGACTGTATATGTCAGTTGTTTGAACTGTGAAAACACAGAAGTGCTTGTTTCCTTGTGCAATTGCTACTATTGTGTAAGTGGTTCCCAGCATGGTAAACAGCAAAGGTAAGATGGTGAGATGCAGATAGCTTGGAGAAACATGTATTTATTTGTCAATACCATTTCGGTGAGTGCAACTACAAATAGATTTGATACTCTATGTGCAGTGTTGGGTATCATTATTATTTATGAGCAAATCCAAGAGTGTGTAGCACCATTAGTCCTTTGATTAAGGACAACCTTCATAACTCTGTATTTGACTAAATATTGTCTGTGTAATATCCTCTTCTACATGAAAGAGCATTGTGCTGGTTTTGGCTGGGATAGAGTTAATTTTCTTCTTAGTAGCTGGCATGAGACTAAGACTGGGTTTGTGCTGGAAACAGTTGTGACAACACGGGGATGTTTTCCTTGCTGCTGAGCAGTGCTTACACAGGGCCAGGGGCTTTTCTGCTCCTCACCCCTCCCCACCCCACACATGAGTGGTCTGGGGGGGCACAAGGAGCTGGGAGAGGGCACAGCCAGGACAGCTGATCCCAGGTTCCATATTGTACATCATGCTCACACATAAATCCACAAAAAGATGAAGGAAGGGGGGGGGGCATGTACAGAGTGGTGTTTGTCTTGCCAAGCAGCTGTTACACAGCCCTGCTTCCTTGGGAATGGCCAAACACCTGCCTGCAGATGGGAAGTGGTGAATGAATTCCTTGTTTTATTTTGCTTGCGTGTGCAGCTTTTACTTTACCTATTAAACTGCCTTTATTGCAGTCAATATTGCAGTTTATTGAGTTTTCTCATTTTTCCCATCAAGGGAGAGTAAGCAAGTGGCTGGACAGGGTATAAGACAGCTAAACGCTCTTAAAATCAAAGTGAGGAAAATAAACTGACCCAAATTGAGGAAACAATTTAAGAAACTTGGTACAGCCTCCTTCTAATGTAATTTGCAAAGCTGCTGATTCTGAAGTTTCTTTCCAGGTGACCCTTGGATCTTCACTATTGTAGAAACTTTAAATGATGTTTACTCAGTATTAAACTCTGAAACTACTGCTAGATGTTTTCTCTTTTCCAAATTACAGAATCAGTGGAGTTGACCTGACTTCTAACTCATTCCCTTAATTCTAATGAATGTTGCACTTAGTTCTTCTGAATTGTATACCAAATAGCTGCTTGAGATCCTTTTACTGCTACGTTGAATAACCTTGCAGAAATACTCTGCAATCACTAGACTGAGATCCATTCATTGCAAAACAAGCAGATGAGCTAATGGCTCACATTTGGCTTCTTCTCTTTGCACTCTTGTTTCTTAAGAAAGGCTGTGTGTGTCTAAGTTCATGTGCATCTTTTCTGTCTGCCTCCTTGGACCTTTTTCAGCTATTGACCAGTTTTAACTATAGTTGGCATATGAGTAGGAGTCCCAAGGATACCACAGGTTCAATGGAAATGGTCAAGTGAGAAAAGACGAGACTTTTTTTTTAAAAAAGCAAACGTATCATACCTGGATCTGATTCTGCTTAAGAATTGAAATCAAAACTGTCCTAAAACTTCAAGCTTCCCCAGACTCATGGACACGTTTTTAAGTCATGTGATGAGCTGCACAGATTACATACATTGAGACAGTTCTGATATTCCGTGAAGAGTAAATCAGTTGTACAAAGTGAGTTAGAGACAATAGTAATTCCTTTGTTCTTTGCCAGGTGATGATAAAGAAAAGATCAGGAGAATCACTGCTTTTAATTTTGACCTGTTTTCCACCAGATGGTGCTCCTTCCCTTGTCCTGAGGTTGTTCTTTCTATCGAGTAATACTTGTCAGTATCAGACCCTTTGCATCTGTCTCTACCCAGCCTGTATACCTGGGTGCATTGCTCTGGGTGTCTCCCTGTGGCCAACAAAGCTTTCCCAGCTCTGACCTGCAGCTGTGCTTCACAGGATGTCTGGGGTCTGTTTGGTTCTTCAAAGCCTTCTGCATTATGAAACTGTGATATTGCAACTGAGACCAATCACGTTGCGTCAGTTCACCCCAGTGCTTTGTTACCACCATCCACATTCACCTTTGTGGCACTGTCTGAGACAAACAAACCGAGAAATGGGTGCAATTCCACACACTGCTATGACTGTTATAGGCCATGGTGTATCAATCAAGCGTGGGATTATGACCCATGATGGAATGAATGCATTAGCTGTTTGGAAATCATGGATTGGTTTCTCCAGACTAGGTCTGTATCAGTGTAAACAAGAGGATGACAATACCAAATTAAAAACAAAGGCTGAGTCAAGCAGGAAACAGAGCTGATTCTACAGTGTCTGCATTCTGTGTTTTCCAGTGCACTTGCTGCTCTTACCTTGACGCTGTTCCCTGCCGAGGGTTTGATCGTGCACCAGCCAGAGCCAAGGCACTTTGGCTCACCCAGAGCAGACCACAAAGTACTCTTGTAACTTCCACTTTTATCTAGGACCAGGAAGACAGCCGGAATAGGATGTTGTAAAAGCTTCTTTATCTCTACCGAGAGTATAAAAAGTTTAAACAATGTCGCATTACATTTTCTCTGCCGTTTTAGATGTATGGAGTGACGCTGCACACAACAGTGAAGGCACTGACTCACAAGGAACACTCCTGGGACCTGACAAGCCTCCAGCCACTGCATGCTTAGTGGGCACAGCAGAGCCAGCTGCAGCCCTGTCCTTCAGCTGTCAGTGCCCTCAACCTGCTCACAGCCCTCCATAGCCCTCCCCTCTGCCTTTTTCATGGACCTGCTGTTACAAAAACTCCTGAAACAGCTGAACATATACTTGGCTCTAAGGTTTCCCCTTAATTTCTGTCTCTCTCTCAGTATTCTTATCCTACTGTCAGTCCCCACCTTACCTCCCACTCCCCATGATGGTCTTTATTGGTCTTGTGGAGGAGATACACTTACCAGATGTGTCAGCAAGGTATGGGTGGGGGTTCCAACATCTGGTATGAATAGATGCTGAGCAGGAGGAGTTTGTTTTCTGCAGGGCTTTTGTCCTTTGCTCTTCCTATGTTACTGGGCTAGGAAGGAGGCAGGTAAGAGACTGTAGCAACAGAGCTACTCCTTTTCACAGGAAGTTCTTGAAGTGTTTTATGAGACTGAGAGCTATCACTGCCCCATTCACCTCTTCCTGAACTGAGACAGACACTGGCCCAGGCTGCAGAGTGAGTCACATTTGAATGGGTATGCCTTGGCTTTAGCTTGCAATTCCATTATGCATCTTAGGGACTCTGTAACAACAGATGATTTAAAAGAGAATTAAAATGAGTAAAGGAAACCTCAGTGAAACCAGATGACTATAACAAACCTAAGCATGGTTAACTGCTGCATCCTATTCTCTCCTGCTGGATGTTGCTAATTCACCTAAGTCCTTACATCCATAGATCAAGAGCCAGCTTAAAAAGTTAGGACTTCTGCTAAAAGATGAGCTGAAATTCCATTACATTTCTTTCTTTCTTTCTTTTTTCCCCCACTGTTTAGTGGGGAAAAAAAAGTTTTCAACTGTGAAAATTTTACTTTCCTTTATTTTATTTTTTTTAAGATTACATGTTTTTTTCATTACCTGTTTGTCTTATTTATGTGCAATTGTGGATATTTAATTTTAATAGCAAAAAGCATTATACTTTACTCACTGTCAAGCAGCAGAATCCTAGAAACAGCTTCTTCACAGAAACACTGAATGGTTTCTGATTGCACAGACCTTGAGACTCATCCTAAGCTTAATTTTCCTTGATGTCTTGGTGATGCATCAGATCATGTCATCTGTTGTGAGGCTTGTATGTCCCACATTTTCAAATGCCTGGATGTTCTAACCTTCATGGTCAGATCCACTTCTAAGCGAAAAGGAGCAAAGATATACTCCCACAGTTATGACTAGTGATACAGCCATTGCATGTCTTTATGCCAAATATTTCAAAGATTAATGACAGTAAATACTATGGCTCAAGACCAGTGTGTTAGTAAGGATTGGAAAACCTGTTTCACTTTGGTCTTTTTCTACCAAGCCGTTTGCTTCATTTCAGAAACAATTCATAGGAGTGTTCTCATCTTCACTCTCCAGCTGCCTTAATATTATGATGCATTTATAGGAGAAGGAAAATTATTAGAAGAATTATGCTCTCATCTGATTCATTACCCAAGAGAAAAAAAAAGCCAAACCCTTCAGAGTATTTGTGGCTAAAGGTATTCCTTCTTTCCCATTTAGAATGGCTTGATTCACATGTCTCTGGGAACGATTTTTGTCAGAGAACCAAGAGAGTATTGAGTGGTTGGTGCGAAAACTGATTTAGAAACAGACACAATTCTGATGAGGATGGGACAATAGAACTGCAGGAAATACTTGTTTGTGATGCAAGAATGCAAATTGTGCAGCGTGTGTGGAGAAGAGTTAATCCAACAAAACGTGGTTTTATCTCAAGACAGTTTGTGCTGCCCTTCCTTGGACATTTTAATTGCAGGTGGAGAGAGATAAGCCAGCACTCAAAGTGACAGCAAGGTAATACAGTGCTTTGTACTGAGAGCAAAGGAATGAATAGCTTTCTCATTACCAATTTCAGGCATGGGCAGGCAGAAGAAAAGGCAATGTTAAGACCTGGAACAGGTCTAGAGATCTTGCTTCCCCTGCACCAGCCAAATGGGGATAGTGGAAGCATAACTCCATTGCTGGGCTGGAGCAATTTGGACTCTTCATGTTTAGTGATTATTAATGGGCTAAAAGTTACAGAAATAAACAGTTTTTCATGTTTCATAGACTCACATGTATGTGTGAGATATAATGAAGATGGTCTTACACTGACAAAGAGAGTGGAAGGTTAACCTAATGTCTTAGTTCTGTCTCAATTCCGAAATGAGCAGGCTACAGAAGCTGGTCCTGGAGTGGGGTGAAGCAGGACCCTTGAGGAAAGGACCCTGCCTCCAGAAGGTGACCAAGGAACAGCTGTGATCCAGAGCTGAAGTGACAAAAGAAGAATGTGTTTTCCAGAAAGCCTCCAGCTATGCAGCTCAGATGGGCAGTGCTCCTGGCATGGAGCCATGGTATCTATTGCTGGTGTCCTTGAAGCTGATGGCACTCATCTTCTGATTTTGCTCCCTGTGTTTAGATTTGGGTGCTAGGTGTTAGGAGCCTCTTTTCTTGCCTTTTTTTTTTCCTTAATTTTTTTTTTCATGGACACTACAGTACACATTCTGTTTGTTTGGCAAAAAGAGCTGAATGTCTACATCAAGTTCTTATTCATCACTAAAATCCTTAGAAAAGACTTCCAAAGGCAGTGTAGAAGGCACTCTGCAGCACTAGCAGTGACAGTGCTCCTTGGCACCCACTGGGACATAAAGGTCCTATGGCTGAAGCATCTTTTAGAAGCTGTGAGCATTTCCTGGGGAACTACATCTAGCTGAAGGTCTCTCAACCACATTCCTCTTTCTCTCGAGGACATAAGAAGAGCACACCAAAACTGTACTGTACTGTACAGGTCCTGCACATTACTGAAGCAATGATGAGATTCTCCAAGTCTTTCTCAAGGGAACTTTGAAGTCATTCAAAGAGCTTTGGGAATGTATATTTTAATAACAACCCAGGACCATACTTGCTGGGCTTTGCATTTGGCTTTGCCATTTTGTTTACTATAGTGTTTGTGAAATAGGGACAAGCCATAAACATCCACCTAGATGCACTTCTGCCATGACATGCTCTGACATGCACGAGTATTTTCGGTGGAAGTATTCCTGCAGCCTTCTTCTTTGTGGGTTTTCAAGTCATCCAGTTAGGGAGAAAAACAACCATAACATGTTACTGAGGTCACAGATGAATAAGACATTATGAATAGTCATGCTGGAAACAAAAGCTTTGGTGAATACCTGGTGAGAACTGTGGGGGTTGACAAAAGTTTGCAGAGCAATTCAAATTAATGAAGCACATGGAAAAATGTTACCTTGTGGATAATTTCCAGGCTAAAAGAGTTTTTGAGTAAACTGTTCGATGCTGTGATTTCACTCGCTCTTATTTTCATCTGAGTTGTGAATCATCCGATCGACGGCTCGAAGGTAAATCATTAAGTAAAATAATTTAGGGGGCGGGGGGGGAGACGAGGGGGTGGCAATCAATGTGTCAGGTTTACCCTATGTCCCAGAGCAGTGAATAATTGCTGTTACTGTAGCAACTGATGGCTTAATGCCTAAGCTTAAACTTCTCCCCAGCAGTGTCAGATCTTCTGAGTGGGTCATAAATAAATGTGAATATATATATCATTTTTGCATCAGAAACTTTGCCAACAGATAAAATACCTTTCTTTCTTATGCCATTTAAAAAGAGAGCATATACTAACATGCCCACATAATAATAACTTGCCCATTTGTGACAAAGTTTTTCTCCATATCACATCTCACTGCCAAGAGTAACAGTCAACAACTTCCTTCATGAACTGCTGTGATTTTATCTGGAAGTTTCAATCAGATGCGTGCTTGTAAACTTTTCTCAACTATAGATTGTGAACATTTATACATTTATTCTCCCAGCAGCTGTGTAAAATGATACAATGTTTACAGCTCTGGACCTGAAAGATAAATATCATATAACCTGCCTTCAGTGTTGCAGAAAGTCTACAGTAGAAAAACATTCCAGATTTCCTAAGGTCAGCTCCAGAGCCTTACATACATAATTTTCCAAGCTAAACATCAACTCTGTGGTCATGGGTCCAGACATATCTGTCCCCAATATGTTAAACGGCAGAAACACGCTGGCACAAAAAGACGAGGTGAAGTTGAGTGTTAGAATATTTACTTTTCTCAATCTTATGTAATCTTAGCATGTTAATCTGTTTTTCCTACCTCTGAGGTAGATTTTATAGATTTTTCTCAAGTGATGCAACATACTTCAAGTTCACTTTGGTCATTCAGTCGCTTATTTCCCCTTTCTTCCACAAAATCAGAGAAGGTTTGCCATCTGTCAGGAAATTTCCAGTGAAAGGACAAAATTGGTAGCAGCAATCAGCTGAAAGTAAGAATGTGCTTATTACATAAAAGTGCATGCTTAGCAATTAAAATTTTCTAAAACAACATTGTAGTTGTTTTTGTGCTTTATATACAATATTAAAAATAAAATAGTCTACCACATGTAATTTATGAAAGCAGCTAATAATGAGTTCATTATTGCATAGCAAGACAATGTTGCAGTGGTGGTTACAGGCCTAGCCAAAGTCTTTGATCTTCTGGTTCATTAATGTATAAATGAAAAGACCTTAGCTAATTATCTCAGTAACTGGTCTCACTCAGGTCTCAGTCAGTTCTTATTCAAGGGTGTACTCTTTCATTTTCCATCCTCTATGCAGGGAGTGAGTCACCTGAGTCATGATTTATTGTCCTTTCGTATAGGAGATTTGTTATTTTCATACCTATGTCCAAGGGACTCATCTGTCTATAAAATTTGCAGTTGAAACAATTTGAAAAATGCCGGGTGATGCAGCTATTTGCAGCGACACCACTGGGTATTAGTAAAGAGGAGCTGATTTTAAATAGGCAAATGCAGCACCCAAGAGTTGAGCCAGCCCCAGGGCTGAACTGAGTATCAGCAGAGCATCCCTGCACTCTTTGGGCTCCTTCCCCTGCTCCCAGGCAACCAGGTTGTGAAACCCATGACTGGGAGTGACAGTCCATGTTCACAGGGCATTTAAAAAATCCAGTGAAGGGGAATTCTTGAATCTGCTACCCTGGCTACTAACAGTGCACTCTCTCAGAAGTGAACAGCAAATAATTCTTTCTATCAGCTCTCAGCTCTCTACACAAAAACTTGTTTTTTAAAGCTCTTATTAAAGCTTTTATTCACTTTCAAATATTGCAAATGGTCATTTCTATTCAGATAAATTTCAGTCAAATTTATTTATATACATAATATATATATTTATAAAATAGAAATTAATTCTGAATTTTAAATTATTGAAATCTGATCTTGATGGTGATTTCAAAATGTGGTCTTCATTTTATACACAAATTGTAGTTTTCAACTTGCATCTCAAAGAACAGTAATAGTTACCAAATGGTGCATCATAGATCATTGTCAGTCTCTCTCCCTTTCTTCCCCCATCTTTTTAATTATTTTAATAATGACAGTTCAGTGACAGTAAATAGGAACATTATGTTCCTGCCTTAGAAGTTGCATACCAAATTATTTTACGCCAGGATTCTATGACACATTCTGTATTTCTTATTATTATAAACAAATCACATTCCATGAAGAATTATGCCATTAGAAACTCATATCAAATTCATATGTTACAGTATTTATATGATGAAAGTTTGGAATAGTAAGATGGCTGATATGCCCTTGAGTTCTAGTATAATTTCTTTTTTGTGGCACCTTTCAATGAATCCATGCATGAACACATCATGGCTTACCTGCCTCCACTGCCATTGATTTTCCAGGGATGACACCTGGTGCTGGGAATGGAATCTGTTTTATGCAACTATGCTATGTGGAGAAAAATGCTGAAGGTAATATTTAACACTGGTTGGGATCACATATAATTAACCATTATTTTCAGGAGAATTTGCTTCTGTTATTTTTTTACTGCACACAATTGCACAGGAACAGGTGGCTGCTTTCTTTCAGCTCATATCCTTATGGACACTGGATGTTATGGTGCCTCTACCCAGAGTATTATTGGAGATGGGAAAAGAGATATGAGGAACAGTTTAGAAGAAGAAGTGACATGGTAAGAGGATTATGACAGTGGATTATAACTGGAGTATATTTTTCAACATGACTGGGGCAAAAGTGAGCCAGATAAAATTCTGGCCAGAATGTGATAAAGCTCTGAAGAGTCTGTAAAGGAAAAGGTATACAAGCACCATTCTGAGGAACATTTAAAACTAATCTAGCTAACAGACTGGTTACAATGATAGTTATAACAGTAGTTTTAGTTCATGAAATACACTTGATTGACCAAGAAACTGCTTTAAAGGGACAAAAAAGCCCTAAAGCCTATAGCAACCTGGTTTGATCACTTGCCTGGCTTTGGTTTAAACAGGAGGCTAAACTAGACATGTTCTGAGGTCCCTGAGAGCCTGAAGTGTCCTATAAAATCACAGAGTGGTTAAGGTCAGAAAGGACCACTGCATGCCATCTATAAATATAAAAAGAAAATAAATACAATCAAATATATGGTGGAGAAAAAAAAAATATGGAAAGTGACTGTACCATTTCCTATGAAGTTGAAACTTTTCCTTGTTTCCCCCTTTTTTCCACCACTTTCCTTTTCTTCTCCACTCCATTTCTTCTTTTGTAGATTTTGGGCATACTAACATATTTTCCTGTGTTTCCTGTGTTGTGATCCAAGAACATGCTTTTTGTGCTCTTTCTGTCTGTATGCAAGAATGCTCAGATCTACAGATCTTATGCCTGTCCCCCGTTTAGATTAGACCATCAAGACCATTAACTAAATGATGTACTTGGCAGAAAGAATAGAATATCCAATCCTATCCTATCCAGAATATCCAATTTCAGTAGCAATGGTGCAATCTCCTAGTACAGAAATTGACTGAAAGTGTGTGTTTATTTTTTCCTCCAGATTTGGTAGCCCCAGTAGGTGTTTCCCTCAGGTATGCTCTGGAGAGGCATTTCTGCAATGTGTATCTGTGTGTGGGGGTGCATGATAAAGCCACCTGTCTCCTTAATCAGTGGGGGATTGATTCCTACCTGGGAGTCCTGGGATGACTGCAAGAGGCTCTGCTGCCTTTAATATGTCTGCATGTAAGTAGAAGGATCTCCTGCAGGGCATGAGACCAGTGATGGAGTTTCCTGGAGATCACAACTCCAGCTCCAAGGCTTTCACTGTCTTAGGGAGCGGTTCAAGGAGAGACTCACTCCTTTGAAATTCAGGGCTGTTTTGCTGTGGGTCACTGAGCCCAGTTTGCAAGCCACAGAATAAATCCTACTAAAGTCACTACAATTTTTCTCATTCTTTCCTCCCACAGATGCAGAATGCCAGCTGCTAAAAGCCATTTCAGAAAGGGCATGGGAGAAACCTGGGAGAAGGTTTTTCTTTCTAAATAAATCAAGCCATTAATTCTGACTAATGCAATGTTGTGTAGTAACCCTATACAGGGGTGATGAGGTGCCAAGCTTCATGTCAGAGTGCCTCAGTGCAGTGCCTGTGATACTGCTCATTCACATGGTCACCTTCCAGACTGAATAGTCTGGCAGACAAAGGTCCTCAGTGCAAGCACCCACAGAACTGAACATTGGCCCCTTGCTCCGGAAAAAGTGATACACGTCTGCTTTAATCCAGGAACAACGTGCCAGATTTAAGGATGAGAAACGTGAAATCTTTGCCGAGTAAAAGGCATCTGGAAAATATTAGGAGTATCAGACATGAACAGCCCACCTTAAATACTAATGCAGCAGAACTCCAAGGATAGAGGTTGAACTTCTGTGCCTCTCAAGTTTAATTAGCATGGTAAGTGCTAGCACAATAGTCTGGTACACAGCCTGGTACATCCAAGATCTCCCTTTATGGCATCACTAATAAACTCTGCAGAGTCTTCATCTCTAGACATAACCACTGAAACTTGGAGTGCCTCCTGAACAGGAATGCATTCATCTTTCTACTGTTATACTGTTTCAAGAAGGGTAGCTGCCTTAGCATCATGGCTGAGAGACCTGGAGAGACAAATTGCTGAAAGACTGACAGAACCCAGAACAGTAACTCAGGTCTCTGAACTCCTCTCTCTTTTCTGCTTAGAAGAAGTCCCCTCTCCACAGCACAAGTTTTGTAGTAGGAACCAGCTGACTTCCAGTGAGGTCAGTGTTAAATATTTGCTTATTCTATCCCCATCTTCCTCAGAATGATATTTCCCCTGGTCATGCATGCATCAGACATGCCTATTCCCTGGCAGACAGAGTGTTAACTCCCAGCCAAAGGATGTGAAGAAAACTCTTTGGACATACAAGGATATAGCACATGCATCCAGTAAAAGATTTTCTTTTAAATGTTATTAAAGTGAAAGCATAGTAAGGAAAGGGTGCATTGTCTCAATTTCATTATACAAACAAATAAAAGCACTTGCAGTTCCATGGAATTTTAACGCAGTTAATCATAAACTTGATATTTGCATCTCACAGGCACTGAACATTGTGTAGTTACTGGAACTGGGATAAACTGGTTTTGAAAGATTTGCCTGCTCTAGCTATGTTCAAGGGTTAACCCTCACTCCCCTGCTCAGATGTTGGCAAAGGAAATCCTCTCATAATCACGAAGATTGGAAGTTAGCCGATGAATTGTTCACATCTCTATCTTGCAGGTAGCTGCTTGCTTTGAGATGCTCTCAAAAGATCTGTTCTGGTATGACTCCTAAGGCTAACTCGAACCATGAAGGGTTGGGTTTTTATTGTCCTTTGTACCTATATAGTTCTTAGACCCCCCCTTCATTCATTTCTGTGAAGCTATTCCAACTACACTTAATGGCAGATATATCCACTGCCTAGCTCTAAATGCTGAAATCTTGGAGTCTTCTTTAATACCCTTTCCCAAAAGCATGAATGTACTCTTTTAAATTCTCTCAGCTGACATTTATACACCAAGACAGAAATGTGCATAGGAAGTTTTTCAGTTTATCCCCTTTGCAGTCATTCAGTCATGCAATGCTCACTCACATGCAGGAAATGCACTCATCCAGAACCCTGTTTTTCAATGTCACGAAGATTGAGAAGCTCACACTGAAGATCTTGGGCACCCACATATTCATGCTGTTGTGGGCATATTCCTATTAAAGCAATGCAAGGGAGTAGCAGTGCTTCCATGATCCATCATAACTAATAACTAATAACATCATAACTAATCTCTCAGTCAGCTGCTCTGCACCTCAATTTGTCTGTCTCTGTATTCTCAGTTAGGACATGTGTTGTGCCATCCTGACCTTAAACTGCTTTTGATCTAAATCTGGACATAGGTAATTGTGTCCAGGGTTGTCCTTGACTCCTCATCTCTGTTTCAT